CCCCTTTCGATGCTGTACTTGTTTCCGAAATGTTGTACTTGATTTGAAAAAAAAGTAATGCTTGTATTGTAATATGTCAAAACAAATAAATATACTGGACTATTAATATAAAAGTTATGGTATTTGTGTTATTCTACAAATGTGTGCATGTGTTATGTATGCTCAACGGAGTAGTGTTTGAAAGCCTTCATGCCATACCGCTTGCCTCCCCTGTAACTAGAATGGTTGTAATACAAGATGGCAACCTGTCGTCGTTGTTTTTGCGCGATATGTTTCCTACTAATATAATAAAGTCTGATATTGTTTATGTGCGAGTGTTCAATATCGCTTCTCAACCGGTAGCATACGAATCTTCACAGATCATTGATTTTCATAGAAACTACTGATATAGATATACGTCATATTCTAAAAAAACAACAAAAACACGTCTTACCAGTAAGATATTCTCCGAGTTTTTCTTCCCAATGTACGCCATCTACGGAATACTGTGGTAACGTGACCGTGTTGTCTAGTTTAACGGCTATTCCTTCAGTCCATTTTAGAAGAATATCGTCTGTAGTATAAGAAACTAAAATAGATAACAGAGAAGAGGGTTACGCGGATGCCACGTGCACAAAGTGTTTTTCGTCATCGAATGTACTAAATTTTCCGATCGACGTTTAGTTTTTCCCACCAGACCGAATTTATTTGGTTAATATAGGTAACGACATGGATCACGAAATTCGCCGAAAAAAATGTAATCATAGAAAGGATAAATCTTGCGAATGGCATGCACAAATTGCATTATACACTGTAAGGGTAGAAAAACAAATATACAAACAAACATATGCTGATTTCACTTCCTTTTGTCGGACACACACCTAGACGTGTATTGACTTTGATTAGGTTAACAAAGCAAAATTCTCACAATTTGAATGAAAGATTCCGCAATCGATCATGCTCAAACATAAACCATACAGTGAAAACGCTTTTTTTGTTTGACGTTCCCACGTCTGCCTATTACTTATACTACTTTCAATACGAACACGTCATCAACATATGTTTTCAATGCTATGCATATATACGTGAATTCACACTCTCGTGTCCTTTGATGCAGATAGTATATTGATTAAATGTAAATAGGTTACTGTAACATACAAGGTAGATGACTTATTTAGCGTACTCCAATAACTAAAGTTCCCCAGTAGTCGCGCCATGTCATTTTTGATGAGGCCCACGCGACGTGTACACCGTTTGTGCGATACATTGCGTGGCGACTATAGCGCGCTGCGTAATGATTGTGGCGCGCTGCTTGACGACTATGACGTGCTGCGTAATGATTGTGGCGCGCTGATTGACGACTATGACGTGCTGCGTAATGACTGAGGCGCGCTGCGTTACAACTATGACGTGCTGCGTAATGGCTGTGTCGCTGTGTGGCGACTATGGCGCGCTGCGTGACGACTATAGCCAGCTGCTTTGCGTGTTTAGCGCGCTTCGTGACGGATATGGCGCACGCTATAACGTATAATCACAATTACTTACAAGATTCCACATTTATGTAGCATTCCTGGCGATCCATTGGAAAATTCTCCAGATTCATATGGCACGACAGCTTAACGCTCATTCTAGTATAAAATACGAACACTTGATTAATTAAACAAGTACAATTTCTTTGAGGCGTTTTGAATTTGTTCATGCTTACCAGTTTTATAAAATTGCAAAATAACACATTGTCTACATAGTTAGTAGTTAGTCGACGTACAATATAGTCATATGACATATATTCGCTTTAGGCAGTACATTATTTGAGGAAAAAAAAAAAACGTTTACCACATATTTATTAGAAAAATGGACT